ACAACAATGCTGAACACCACCTTACCTTAGCTTGTAACAGGAATGTCATTCAGATCACATGTCTAATAAATGTACTACTGTCAGCCTATCCCAGGGGAAGAGCTCCCTCACCTTGAGGAGACTACGGGGGCCCCACCAGAGACGAGCAACACTGGACTTTGGTTGGAATGCACAAAATACAATCCAGTTTTATTTGGTTTTTACAAAAAGTTTAGAAAAAGGTTACAAAAGTGAGTAATAAATCATACAAAATCTCAAATGTACCAAGTTCTCAAAAAGCCTAAAAGCTCTAAGAGGAGTGTCCAGAAGCCTCGATCCTTTGTTGTGTCCTATTTGTACCCTTCTCGTTGGTGCTTTCTGCAACCTCCGGGTCCATATAAGGTAGACAACAGAACATTCTTAAATCATTGGACAAAACTGTTCCAATAGTCCTATCCCTTCTGACATACCTACTTTTTAAGTCGAATGCTTTTCTGCTAGCCCCCTCCTTTGTAGAAGGTGTCTGTCTAGCCCTCACTGAACAGGATGTCCCCTAACTAAGACAATAGTTAGTTTTTGAATCTACAATCTTTCTCCTCTGCTGGCTGTCATTCAATCATGTCAGAGTGAGTTTAACCCAAAGTTCACTTAATTCATTAGCTTTAACATACCAGTCAACATTACAAGCACGTATGATCACATTTTGATAAATGATAGAAAGTCACACATTAAAGCAATTCAATAATTGAAACGTCTCTAAGCAATATGGGATTACATGCAACGAGTATATTGATATCTGGAAGTATAACACTCTTATGCCGCGAATCATTCGCGCCGCGTATTCGCGCCGCCGGTCTCGCCGGGGACTATTTGTGTTCATTTGCGTGAATCGCGCTGGACGCGCCGGAGAGGGGGCGTGGCTTATCGCCCTGAAAGCCGTTCAACTGTCCGCCATTAACCATGGAAAAAATAACCTCTTTCTGCAGTACGTATTGTGGAAGTCACAGATATCACGGGAAACTAAACACCGTCATGTCTGGTTCATAACATTGTCCCGAGGAGCTCCATGGATTTTATCGAGCTGTATTCACTGTGTCTAGCAAGCCACAGGTCGCTGTTTACTACAGCTGTATGAACACAAAATAAACTGATTTGGCTGTGATTTAACGGCACTAAACCGACAAAAAGGTACTCCGAAATAACTACGTAATGACGCCAATTTGTACTTGTCTTCTCAATGGAGCTCGGATGGATCGGTGCTAGGCTATGCTAACATTGTAGCAGCTCCACCAACAGAATAACATCTAGACGTAAATAGGGCAGCGTCTATTCATTGTTTGTACCATATGGTTTACACACACACATTTATACACATAGTTTGGTCCGGTCTCTATTGATATGAGGTATCGTAGAGCTCTGGGTGAACACAGACGGCTACAGTATTTATTTCCTGATTCAACAACGGCAGGAAGTCAGTGATGACAGGGGGAGCAACTCAACGCTGACAGGCTATCGCGCTGGGGCGTAACGCGAATAATTCGCCGAAGTTGAAAAATTTGAAATCACGCGTTCGGGGCGATTTGGCGCGAATTCGCGTCAATCGCGCCGCGCCATCGCAAATTCGCGTCACTCCAGTCTAATCGCGTCTGTGAATAGACTTTGTATGTAATCTCCTCGCGCGAATAATTCGCGCCACGTTTGGTGTGAACGCACCATTAGGCTGCGTTCTTCTAGATCATAACTCATCATTGATTTGGAAAATAAAAAGAGAAATAGACAACTCACATAACATACAAATAACACCTTGAGATAGGATTTCCTCTTTTTCCAGAGGCCACAGGGGCCATGTTCCCTATATGCTAATTAGGCGTTAAACTATAATGCGCCTCGAAGACTTCTCTGTATCAGAGTCAGCCAGATGCTCAAACCACAAGACGCTGCCTTAACGTCATTTGGAGCCTGGCCTCTCTCCTGTGTGACATCTCATGTGTGTCTTCAGACTTCCATTTTTAGTGAAACGTTTACCACATTCTGAGCAGCTGAAAGGTTTCTCTCCTGTGTGAGTTAACATGTGTGTCTGTAAATGTCCCCTACGTGAAAAAGATTTATTACAAACTGAGCAGCTGAAAAGATTCTCTCCTGTGTGACATCTCATGTGTGTCTTCAGACTTCCACTTTCAGTGAAACKTTTACYACATTCTGAGCAGCTGAAAGGTTTCTCTCCTGTGTGACATCTCATGTGTTTCTTCAGACTTCCACTTTCAGTGAAACGTTTACCACATTCTGAGCAGCTGAAAGGTTTCTCTCCTGTGTGACATCTCATGTGTGTCTTCAGACTTCCACTTACAGTGAAACGTTTACCACATTCTGAGCAGCTGAAAGGTTTCTCTCCTGTGTGAGTTACCATGTGTCTCTGTAAACTTCCACTCTGTGAAAAAGATTTACTACATTCAGAGCAGCTGAAAGGTTTCTCTCCTGTGTGGAATCTCATGTGTGTCTTCAGACTTCCACTTACAGTGAAACGTTTACCACATTCTGAGCAGCTGAAAGGTTTCTCTCCAGTGTGAGTTACCATGTGCGTCTGTAAATTTCCACTCTGTGAAAAAGATGTATTACAGACTGAGCAGCTGAAAGGTTTCTCTCCTGTGTGAGTTAGCGTGTGTGTCTGTAAATGTCCACTCTGTGAAAAAGATATATTACAGACTGAGCAGCTGAAAGGTTTCTCTCCTGTGTGAGTTAGCGTGTGTGTCTGTAAATGTCCACTCTGTGAAAAAGATGTATTACAGACTGAGCAGCTGAAAGGTTTCTCTCCTGTGTGAATCATCATGTGTTTCTTCAGATATTGACTCTTGCCAAATGTTTTCTCACACTCAGAGCAGCTAAATAGTTTCTCACCAGCACTACTTCTTGAATCACTGACAGGAACTTCATCATTATTCACAGAGTTTAAACCTGACTGAGGTTTTCTGGTCTCCTTCCAATCACCACTGTCATCAGTGTCAGTAGAGTCTCCAGTCTTCTCATTAGTATCTGGTTCTGGATGTCTATCTGCATCTGAGTTCTTGTCTGGTTCTGGTCCTCCACAGTCCTCTCCATCAGCTTCTGTTTCCATCTGTTCAGTTTGTCTTTGATGAAGTGAGGACTGAGCTTCCTCTTCATCGTCTTCACTCTTCACAGGAGTGAATATGAACTTGATGATATCAGCCTCCTCCAGACCTTGAAGCTGCTCTCCCTCCTGACTGGTCCAGAGTTCCTCCTGTTCCTGTTTAATGTGTGGGGGCTCTGGGTCCTCCTGTTCCTCTTTAATGTGTGGGGGCTCTGGGTCCTCCTGTTCCTCTTCAACGTGTGGGGGCTCTGGGTCCTCCTGTTCCTCTTCAACGTGTTTGGGCTCTGGGTCCTCCTGGTCCAGACTGGAGCTCCACTCCTGCTGCTCTTCTTTAACCACCAACAGCTGCTGGACATCTGTGGAAAATAATGAATTACATACACACCTTAGAAAACTGTAATTTCATGTTAACAACTAATCCACTGATTTCACTACTTTCCTATAATGTGGGGAGACATGTTGCACATTTTGGAGAACATATTTAGACTTCATTCAAACTGACGTGTGTTGGAGCTATTTATTTGATATTAGTATTTTATTTAATTAATAAGTAGTATTGTTTAATTATTCTAGATGTTTGATATATTAAGATTGCCTTTTCTCTTTAATAGTAATTTGTTTAGTTATATTATTTTTATATTATATATGAGTAGATGGATAGGACCAGCATGCACCGGGGTGGGCATATAGTTTTTACCAGCACAGGAGAGACAGCACGACAGGAGTTTTCTTTGTTCTTTTTGTTTGTTTGCTTGTTTTGTTTGCTTTACTAAATAAATAAGAAAACCTGCGTAAAATACTGACCACGGTGCATCAGTGGCCTTTGATTATTGTTTGTTTTATTTTGATTGATACGACAAATGGCCACTACAATGTGTTTTACCTGGCTGTGAGACGTTTCTCTTTGCGGGAGTTGTTCTTGTTTCTATAACAAACATAGTTTGATGAATGGAAGGAGAGGGGGAGAGAGAGAGTCTTCTTTTTTGCTGACTATTAATATCGCCATCATCACTATTCTCATTGTTTGACGCTGTTGATCGCTGTCGATTACCTTTGTACACCAATGAGAAAGTATTTTGAACGTTTTTGTCTCTCCCGGCTGTAAGACCTGTATGACTCCTCTTCAGCCTGAAGACGGTCATGACCTTTGCCCCTCTTGTCTTGGCCTCAAGCATCTGATCGAGAGCCTCTTGGAGAACCTGTGCATTAACTGCAGCATCATGCCTTCCGGCAGGGTAGGAAGTTTACATATATCTTTAGGGGGCAATTTTTGCCCCCCC